ACGCCCTATTTGGGATTTTTGATTATTTTCTTACTTTACGCCCTATTTGGGATTTTTGATCATTTTCTTACTTTACGCCCTATTTGGGATTTTTGATCATTTTCTTACTTGACGCCCTATTTGGGATTTTTGATTAGTTTCTTACTTTACGCCCTATTTGGGATTTTTGATTATTTTCTTACTTTATGCCCTATTTGGGATTTTTGATTATTTTCTTACTTACGCTCTATTTGGGATTTCCTGGGTGATGTTTGACTGCTAACCAGGAGGTTGACAGTTTCAGTCCGTCCCCTGGTGCTGTGGAAGAAAGGGCTGGTGACCTGCATCCGATCTGCCCTGAGGAGCACAGCTGCACTCGTGTGTGTGCAGACACGCTGGGGGCTGCCCCAGTCGGGGTGACGCGCGCATGGCTGCTGTGTCCACTGTTGAAGGTCCTGACAGCTGTTTGCTGCCGATTGTTTTGCTCATCTGGTCAACAGACAGCGCCCCCTTACCCGGCTGTGTGGGCCCCCAGGACCCTCGTAGGACCCTTGTACAGTGTGTGGGGTTGAGGGCAGGGATGGCATGTTCCTGCAGGGTTTCCTCCATCGGCTTCAGAATACCAGTTTTGTGTTTGAAGTCAGCAACTGTGTTTCCTAGAAACGAAGAGTAGGGCCCGGATGATCCGCTATCTGTTTCACTGTGTTGGAGATAGTAGTGTGTCTTTTGTGAAACCAGTCAGAGACCCCACCAATCTGTGTTGGAAGAAGTGCAGCTAGCATGTTCCTGAGAAGCCAGAATGGTGAGGCTTGGTCTCACACTTTGCACATGTGACTGTGAGGGACCAGTCCCGGGAGAAGGACGGCATGCTTGGTAATTGGAGGGGCCACGGAGAAGAGGAAGACTTACAACAAGATGACTCACGCAGTGACAGCAACACGGGCTCAGACGTGATGCCGACCGTGAAGAGGCCGCAGCACCAGGCAGTGTTTGCTCAGTTGTGCCTCGGGTCACTGAGTCGAACTGACTCGACACCACCGAACAACAAAACTGGGTGCTGGTGCCCAGATTTCTTGGGTGGTGCACTGAACCCCCGTGGCCAGGTTCTGCTGAATCAGCACTGCCCGGTTTGGTCCCCAGAGAGGTGGGCATGCAAACAGCAGCTCTGTCTGTGGACGAGTGAAGACAGATCCAGAAGAGGAAGACAGAAGAACCAGGAGACAGAGAGAAAATCGGTCCGGGGAAGGGGCCGGGCGACCTCTGACAAGGTGACCTGGAGAAAACTTCTAGCTGTCCTCTCCAATTCTTCCTGGAGGGACGGTTACACACAGCTGCTCACGTCCGTCTGTAAACTGGTGGCGCACCCGCAGCTCCACAGAAGCTCTGCCAGGCAGCCCCTTACCCTTCAGCCCCATTCCCTCGTTCTCAGGGACCCTGTGCTCACAGCAGGGGCTGAGGTTGACGGTCACCTTCCTTCCGCTCTTTATAGCCCCTGAAACCTGGTACCCAGGATGGCGGGGAGGAGGCCGCCGGGCCGCCAGGGCCTGCTGCTGGGGCTGCTGGTGGCTGTGGCTGCGGTGCACCTGGCCGCCTGCCCCTACACCAAGGTGGAGGAGAGCTTCAGCCTGCAGGCCGTGCATGACCTGCTCTACCACCGACTGGACCTGGACAAGGTGAGTGAGCAGGGAGTGCGCCTGGGGGATGGGGGGTGGCCCAGAGCTGCTGCTTGTGGGTCACCCCTTCCTGTCCCCATCTTACAGTACGACCACCATGAGTTCCCCGGCGTCGTCCCCAGGACGTTTCTTGGGCCTGTCTTCATTGCCACCGCCTCCAGCCCCACTGTGTACCTGCTCTCGCTGCTAGGAGCGTCCAAGTTTTACTCTCAGCTCGTAGGTGAGTGGAGACCCAGGGGACTGAGCCCAGATCTCACTGTGGAGATCCCCTTGGCAGGACACGTGTCATCTGGGAGACGAGGGAGAGTGCCTCCCTCACAGGGCTGTAGTGGGAGGACAGGACTCCCAGGGCCCCCAAAGCAACTGCCGCCTTGGGGTCCCATACTGCCCTCTCGCAGATCCTTCCGGGTCTCCCTTTGAGCCCACCCGGGTACATTTGCAACTAAGTTTAGACATCCTGTGGTGTGGCGCTGAAGGATAGTGTGCTGGGCCACAAAGGTCTTTGAACTGCAAGGTCTGCGGTTCAAACTCACCAACCGCTCCTTGGAAAGCCGATACAGGGTCACTGTGAGTTGGAACAGCCCTTGTTGCTAACGTCCCACCCAGCCCTGCAGACCCCACGCTCAGTGTCTTGTGTCTGTCCAGTCAGAGGGACCCTGGGCCTCGGTGTCATTGCCGCCCTCTGGACACTGCAACAGGAAGTACGGAGGCAGTTTGGGGCCACGGTGGCCACACTGTTCTGCTGGCTGACAGTCTCCCAGTTCCACCTGATGTTCTATTGCACACGGACGCTGCCCAACGTGCTAGCCCTGCCCGTGGGTACGGAGAGCCTCTGGTGACGCGGGGCTGGGCGGGGGCAGAGCAGAGTGCATGGGGCTCTGGGGGCTAGGGTGGTGGGGCATCCCTGGAGCCCTCATCCCATCCCCAGTCCTGGTGGCGCTCACGGCTTGGCTGCGGCGTCGCTGGATCTGCTTCCTGTGGCTCTCCGCACTGGCGGCCATTGTCTTCCGGGCCGAGCTGGGCCTCCTCCTGGGCCTCAACATGCTGCTTTCACTCCTGGGCCGGAAGGTGCCCCTGAGGAGGCTGTTGCGCCATGCTATCCCTGCCGGCACTGTCTGCCTGGGTGAGTCCCTTGGGCGCCGTCGGTCTGTCTGTCTGTCTGGGTGATGCTGCACCAGCGCCATCTGTCTTGTCTATTTGGGTGAGTCCCCGCTGGTGCCATCTGTCTGTCTGTGTCTGTGTGTCTGGCTGAGTTCCTGCCAGGCTCTCATAGATGGTGCAGAGAGCTGCAAGGACTGAGAGTCAGACTTTATGTGTTTCCGTGAGGGGGGTCCACTTCCACTCTAAGCAGGGGTTAGATGGAGCCCAGGTGTCCCTGTGGCTTCCTTGTCCTGCCCTGGTCTAGTCAGGGGGACGTGCCAGCACCTCAGGGAGACCTGGGCATCCTCTCCGTGGGTTTAGGACTGACGGTGGGTGTGGATTCCTATTTTTGGCGCCATCTTGTGTGGCCGGAAGGAGCGGTTTTCTGGTACAACACGGTTTTGAACAAGAGCTCCAACTGGGGTGTATCCTTTAGTGCCCATGTCTGTCTGTCCTCTGCCACGCCTGTCAGTCACCGCTTGTCTTCTGCTCTGTCCATCACGGCAGGCACGTGGGCCAGACAGCTTTTCCACCTCTGGTACCTGGTGTCCAGTTCCCACTCAGAGTCCCTCCCATATGCAGGGATGCTGGCCCGTCTCCTGCTGACCCTGGGGGACTCTTGCCCACCACAAATCCTTGCCCCGTTCCCACCACTGCGTTTTTGCATGGAGGGGCTGTGAGGAGAGCCTGGGGTGACCCCCTCAAGCTGTGGCCTCTGCACGTCAGGCGGCCTGAGGTCCCAGTGGACAGGCAGTGGACGTATGTTCCTTAATTAATGCCCTCAGACCGCCCCATTCCTGTGGTACTGGTACTCGGCCCTGCCCCGTGCCCTGGGCAGCAGCATGCTGTTCGTACCGCTGGGCGTGGTGGACCGGCGGGCCCGGGGGCTCCTCCTGCCCGCACTGGGCTTCGTGCTTCTCTTCTCTCTGCTGCCGCACAAGGAGCTGCGCTTCGTCATCTACACCATCCCCACGTTCAACATTGTGGCTGCCCGGGGCTGCGCCTACCTGTGAGTGTGGGCCCGTGTGATGGCCAGGGGAGCGCTGGAGGACGTGTCTGATGTCACTTCTAAGTCGGTGTCTCTGAGGGGGTCTCCGGCCCTGGTGGAGGGCCGCTGCTGAGCCCTGACCCTGGAGCATCCCCGTGTGTGTGCTCTTCCAGAGTGAACAACTACCGGAAGTCTTGGCTCTACAGAGCAGGCTCCCTCCTGGTGGGCGCTCACCTTGTCTTCAATGCTGCCTACATGGCCACCTGCCTCTACGTGTCCCACTTCAACTACCCGGGGGGCGTGGCGCTGCAGCGGCTCCACACGATGGTGCCCCCCCATACAGGTAGATGCCCCCCCCACACAGGGAGGTGCTCACATACACACACACTGTTCAGTGCCTCCCCCACACACACAGCTAGGGGTCCCAGATGCACACAGCGTCCGCACACAACACGTGACTCCGTAGCAGCACCACGCTGGGCCTCCCATCAGACCACTTTCTGCAGGTGTCTCTGTGCACATTGACGTGGCTGCTGCACAGACAGGTGTTTCTCGCTTCTTGGAGCTCAACCCCGGCTGGAGGTATGTTCATGCTGCCCCATGCCCTCTGCACACGTGCGGGTGGGAGGGGCTGCCGTGAGAACAGCCACGCTCCGTCCCCAGGTATGACAAGCGGGAAGACTTGCAGCCCGGGGCGGAGGGCATGCTGGCCTACACACACCTGCTCCTGGAGGCGGCGCCCGCACCCCTGGCTCTCTACCGGGACTCTCACCGGGTGCTGGCCCACGTGGCAGGTACCAGTGGTGTGCGTCTGAACCTGACCCGGCTGCCTCCCTTTGACGTGGATCTGCAGCCAAAACTGGTGCTGCTAGAGCGGGTACGAGGGCCGTCCTGAGAGGGGCACCGGGCCAGGCTTCTGGACACACAGACTTCTGATTCAGCTCCAAGGAAGAGGACGTGGAGAATGTCATTCCAGCCTGGGCCTGCGTGCTGGGCCGTGACACCAGAACCTCCCCTGGTGTCACCCACACTGACGTCTGAGAGCAGACTGGACAAACGGGAACTTCCGAAGATGGAGTGTGACCGTCCGCTGTCATTCCAGGCCCAACCAAGGACTCAAATGTGGTACCAGAATTAAAGTTTTCACATGTTTTCTTATGATGTGCCTCCTCCGTGATTATTCCTGGAGAGTGATCTCTCAGTGCTAATCTCAGCTTAATGGGTACGTTTACAACATGCCCATGGCTTGTCCGACGCCACCAGGCAGCAAGCTGGGAACTGAAGGCCACGTGCACACCTCGGTGCGCCCACGGTCTCTTCCTGGTGTTGGGACAGAACTGCTGGCTGCTCATCTGACTCAGATCTAAGCTCCAGGAAGGTGACCTTAGGCCATATTTTTACTGCCTCACCTGCCCCTCCCAGGCCCTCTGTAGAGCTCTCTCCAGGGCCCAGGCGGCATCAGCTGTTGCGTGTTGCCCCACGTCTAGAGGTTCCTTCAATGCAGCACATATCATGGCCTTGTTCAGGCCCTTGTGGCGTCAGCATTTTTGAGGAAAACAGCCCCCTACCCCTTAAGCTGGAGAAGACTGTGTTTCCACTGTGGGGGGCTGTGTCGGCTGCTCCACTCTCTCCTGGGGGCTGGAGTCCTGTTGTGTGCGGCCAGGCTCTCAGGTTCACTGATGGGGAGGGAGCAGTGGGATCCCCTTTTGGTTTCGTTGTGCTCCGAGCACAGTTGAGTATCTTCACAGAGGCTTCCTGTTGTAAAGTGCTGTTGAGTCCGTTCTGATTCACAGCCACCCTGTACAGGGTTTCTGAGGAGCGGCTGGTGGGTTTTAAAGGCCTACCTTGTGGTGAGCAGTCGAGTGCTTACTCTACAGCACTATGCCAGGCCTCCTTTCATCGATTGTTTGTTATGCGCCATGGTTTTAGTTCTGATTCATAGTGACCTATATAGGGTTTCCCAGGGTATACGTCTTTGTGGAAGCAGAAACCCTCATCTTTCCCCTGCGGCAGCTGGTGGTCTCAAACTTCTGACTTTGTCGTTCACAGTTGAGTGTTCATCCTACAGCGCCACAGGGTTGTAAAGCATGGGTACACAGCTGGGTTCCAGTGCCACGTGGAACTCGGGCTCCACGCTTCAGTGATGGAGTTTATTAGGGAGGTGAGCAGCTTTATCAGGGTCAGAAATACTCAGGATGGAGTCCGTCCAGCCGGGGCCTCTGCCTGCAGGACCAGCATTACAGGGTTCTTTTAGGGCTGCTGACGAATGCCCACTGGACACCACACCCCACCCCACCATCAGCCTCAGCCTGAGGGCACTCACTTCTAGCTCTGTGGGTCAGCAAACCTAACTCCCCCAATTAGTGCATGAAGCAGCCCACTCACAGCAAACTTCCTGCCCAGAGCCCCTGCGCTGTTGGCTGGTTCTTGGTTCTGCTAAAGCCCCTCCCCTGCTCTTCCAGCGCCGCAATTTTTCATCCTTGGGTCAGGAGGGTCGATGCCCTGGGGTCTCGGATCCAAAGGACACGCTCCCCTCCTGGCTTTTTGATGGTTATGAGTTGCCCCTCCTGCTTCTGAGATTGTGCATGAAACCCATCCTAGAGTTTCAAGTTCTTAAGATTAACAGTTAACTACTCACATCCACAGCTGAATTGTGTATTCCTACCAGTATCTTCTCCCACCTTCTCTTACCCAGACCCATCAATAAAAGTCTCGTTTAAGGCTAGAAGAGACAGGAAGTAATTCACTATAGCACAGGGACCAATTCTACATCTATTTTTGTGAATTGTATTTTGCCCATTTTGCTCTTGGATTTTTAGTCACTTGCCCTTCAATTTGTAAGAAGAATTCATCAGTTATTCAGAGTATTGGCCCTTTGCCTGACACGTGCAGAAATAAGTTCTCTGTTGGTCATTCGACTTTACGACTTTGCTTATGGTGTCTTCCCACACAGTCTGCATTTTTACGGGTTCACATATATGGGTTACACTTCAACATCCCGAACAAAAACCCATACAACTGGACCGGTAAGTGACATGATCAATGGAGAAAAGATTGAAGTCAGAGACTTCATTTTGCTTGAATTCACCATCAACACTCATGGAAGCAGCAGTCTAGAATCAAATGTGTTAAGTAAATCTGCTGTACAAGACCTCTTTAAAGTGTTCAAGAGCAAAGATAGCAGTTTGAAGACTAAGGTGCGCCTGACCCAAACCATGGTATTTTCAGTAACCTCATACACATGTGAAAGCTGGACAGTGACTAAGGGAGGCCACAGAAGAATTGATGCCTTTAAATTATGATTTTGGGAAAAAATATTAAAGGTACCAGAAGAACAAATCAATCTGTGTTGGAAGAAGTACAACCAGAATGCTCCTTAGAAGTCAAATGGCCAGATTTCGTCTCTGATACTTTGGCTATATCAGGAGACACCAGTCCCTGAAGAAAGACATCATGCTTGGTAAAGTGGAGGGTCAGTGAACAAGAGGGAGACCCCCAACAAGATGGAATGGTACCATGGCAGTAGCAACGGGCTCCAGCGTGTCAGCAACTGAGGATGGGGCAGTACTAGGCAGTGTTTCCTTCTGTGGGATCTAGGGTCACTATGGGTCAGAACCAACTCAACGGCACCTAATAACAGCATACATCAGGAGCAACGGTGGTGCTGGAGAATAAGCACTGGACTGCTAATTGTAAGGTCAGCAGTTCAAACCCTAGGGAGAAAGATGAGACAGTCTGCTCCCGGAAAGATTTACAGCCTCAGAAATCCTGTACAGGGTCACTGTGAGTCCGGATGCACCAGAGGTACACAGCCACCACCACATGGAGGCGAGCGTTTTCCTCACGTCAGGGATTTTAATCAGTGTTGTTGAGTCCGTTCTGACCCATAGCGGCCCTGTGTAGGCTTTCCGAGGAGCGACTGACTTGGTGGGTTTGAACCACCGACCTTGCAGTCCAGCACATTTTCCTGCAGCGCCACACCAGGACTCCTCATCGGCGTTAGAGAGCGGTTGGACTTCGTTATCATCTGTTAGTACGTCTGGTCTCCTCGCATTTAGATTTCTGATCATTTGGGGTTTACCTGTGTGTCCTGTGAGGGCTGATTTTGTCTGAGAAAGCCCATCTCGGCTCCAGTGACTTGAGATGCCATTGTTACTGTGTTCCATCTGTATTTGGGTCTGTCAGGCCCCGACACCTTTTATTGTATTGGCCTCATGAACCAAACATCCAAGCCCACTCACCCTGGAGGACAGAGTACAGCTGCCCCACGGGGTTCCCCTCAGGGTTCTGGAGGCTCAAATCTTCATGGAAGCAGACTCTCATTTTTCTTCCATTGAGGGCTGATGGGTTCAAACCGTCAACCCAACCCACTGCACCACCAGGCTCCTTACTGGCTTACTCATTAAGTGCTGTCGAGTCAGTTCCGACTCATAGAGACTCTGTGTAGGGTTTCCGAGGAGTGGCTGGTGGCTTTGAACCGCTGACCCTGTGGTTAGTCCAGAGCTGATCCCACGGTGCCACCCACGCCAGGACTCCCGGCACGGGTCAATGTGTCCTGTAGGAGGTGGCCATTCATAGCTTTTCCTTTCCACATTTTCCTGGCTGTTCTTGGGTGTCAACCCACATGGGCTTTACTATAACCTCACCTAGCTCCACGACAGCCTGTTGCTGTGTTTACTGGGATTGATGCGGTTTCTAAATTGAGTCCTTGATGTGGTCCAGATGTTCCGAGCAGGGATTAAGGCCTGCCTCACCATGCGTTCATGTCTACTTCGGTGTGTTTCCAGTGGTTTTCACTTGATGTGGTAGGTTGGATGGTAGGCCCGAAAGATACATCCATGTCCAAATCCCTGTAACCTGTGAGTGTCACCGACCTTATGTGGAAACCACCTTTTCAGATGTATTAGGGTCAGAGTCTCTAGAGGATCCTGGGTCCCCCAGGTGTCCTGACAGCCCCATGATGAGGTGGCATGACTGCGGGGAGGGTGGGGGGAGGCTGCCACAACCCCAGAACAGCGAGGGCCATCAGGAGCCTCAAGTGGCAGACCTAGACCTTCTGAGGGTACACCGCAGGCCTATACACAACTTCCTTTGGGACTCCTGGCTTCCAGGACGGTGAGAGAGTAAGTGTCGTTTTATGCCACTAAGTTTGAAGTGTTTTGTTATGGTACCCATCGGAATTAATGCAGGGGTCTTTTACAATATTAACTGTTTCTAAGAATTCTGTCTTATTTTTGCTATTATAAATGGGATTTTCTTTCGTCTTCTAACTGCTACGATTTCTGGGTATAAAGGCAATTGATTTTTCCCACTGTTTTATTTAGTAAGATTTGTGAAATATTTACATATGATCTTGTTTTAAAATATTCTGAGGCTTTTAAATCTTTGAGGGAACAGAAAACAACCCACCAGATTAAGGGTACAGTGTATAGCTTCTGAACATTGTGTGACCTGAGCCGAAGCCAAGCCCTTCAGGTCTGGAATGAGCTCACCCCATGGCTTTTCATGAGGGCTTTCAGCCCAACAGACGGTCTGTAAGAGGGAGGGTATGTACGTGAGTTTTAACTCCTTCCACTCACTGCGGGAGAAAGATGAGGCTTTCTACTCCCGTAAAGATTTACACCCTCGGAAACCCTGTACAGGGTCGCTATGGGTCGGACCCGACTCGATGGCACTTAACAACAACAACAACAACTCACTGTAGTATGTTTTTGAGATGCATACATGTTTCATGTATTGGTTATTTCACTAAAAAAAGAGTTTCTTGCTAGCATTCCTTTATAGGAGTGTGACGTAATTCATCCATTCATACCAATAGATGGTTACTGGAGTTGCCTCCAGTATTGGATATTACCAGATGACATCACTGAGAACTCCACCAAATATTCAGAAAGG